CCCCCCCGCTAGTGTAGCCCAGGCCTTAGACTTCAAGCTCTTCAAAGCAGACAAGACAAAGGGTCGGAGGGGAAAGAGCGATGAAGTGTCATGCTCACGGTTAATGGCAGAGGCAGGAAGAGGATCTAGGTTAAGAGTCCTATCCATTACACCGCATCACCTCCCTTTCTCTCAAGGAAGCAAGCACTCACTAATACAGACGGATCTCGAAAATTAAGCTATACTTAGGTAACTTTGTTTTCAGTTTTTGCTGATTTTTACTGAAAATTCCTCAGGTTTTACAAAAAATAGCAAGTTTTTACTGATTTTTCACCCAAATTTCGGACCATTCAAGTATATGGAAATATGGATTATGTTAAGAAAATCCAATCCATGACATTAGGTGGATGTGTTTATGTTACTAATAAATTAGTCTAAGTGTAAATGTGAGCTGGCTGCTAAAGTAAGGCAAGGTAATAGAAAATACATATGCATACCCATGTATATGTACTATTTGTGTACAGTTCATGCAATAAACCACAGCTTACACTGCTTTTATTTGAAATACTCTTACTTTTATCTATTTGTTGCTTTTTTCCTCTCCTTCTGTCCCCCGATATTAACCTCAATATTTAGCCAGAAAACTGTGAAGTTAATTTTTCATACTGATTTTTACTTATTTTTATAATAAACACTGATACATTCCCACTAAATTTTAAATGAAATAAAAATGGAGACCAAAGGGCTTTTGCTATAGTTGACTGGACAAGTTTGTAAATGTAGCTGAAATTATGTCGTTTATCAATAGGCATCCTTTGGCAGACCTCCATCTTTAAACATAATACTGATGGACTCTGATAATAACCACATCAGTGGCACTACAGCAGACTGCCAAGGGAGACAGTCTTTACTCCATGCAGACTTACTTCTCTTTGTGCAAAGCTTGTTTTGAGCTGCTGCATAAAAGGACATTCAATAAAAGAAATTTCAGGGGGAAAAGCTAAATCATTTCACTGGGCTTTTTAAAAGCAGCTGTCACTTTCAGACTGAAGACACTGTGCCAGTTCTGTCTCCGATAGCAAGAGACTTGTCATACAGTGGCTTTGGCAAGTACTTACATCTTGATTGGTCATCTCCCAGTAGGGCCTCTCTCCATAAGACACTACTTCCCACATCACTATCCCATAGCTCCAGACGTCGCTGGCCGAGGTGAATTTGCGGAAGGCGATGGCTTCTGGGGCTGTCCATCTGATTGGGATCTTCCCTCCCTTGTGTGAAAAAAAACAGAAGGGGGGGGAGAAAAGCAACATTTCTTACAGCATCGAGGGAGATTTTTTTCTGTTCCTGAATGATGCTGGAAAGAGATGTAGAATTTTAAAGTAAATCTGCTTGACAGCATGGGGCCTTTCTCCATATTATCTCAGCCCATAAGCATTTGCAGCTGACTACTAATTGGCTGACCTGAAGGGCTGTTGTTTAAATTCCATTTGAATGCTGGAACACGTTTAACATCCACATCTCCGTTATGTTGCGCTGGTTGGTAGGGGGGAAAGCCAAGTGCTCCAGCAATCAATACAGTGAACTTTCAAGAGTTTCTGACAGCAAATGGGGAAGGAACAAACACCTTAAAAACTCTAGGTGACTCTGGCGTAATGTGAACCTCATGCAAATTACAGGGCAGGAGGCTGGATTTTATTTTACAGATCTTTGACCCCAATCCTGCAGTTGGAACCAGGTAGGTGGGCCACTGAAATCAACAAGGTTCCACATGAATGCAAAGTCAGCCAGTGCAAACTTGATTGCAAGATAGAGGCCTACATAAGAGATGGGGAGACCAGATGAGTGACAAAAACATCAATCTCTCTTTGATTATTATTGATTTTTTGTAATATTTCTTGCATAACTAATGTCTCCCTGCATATATCTAGGGATTTCAGATTTAGGGATTTCTCCCTGCTTTCTAATTTTTCGATGTTTAACTTTATGCAAATTATAATAATACTTTAATGATAATATAAATCATCTCTAAAATATTCAGGATTAAAAAGAGGATTTTAGTCAGGGTTTAAAGAATTGTTTTCCTTGAATTATATCAAAATAGGCCCCCCTTTGAAGGCCCTTGCTCCCAGGAACGAGCTACCTGCAAGGCTGGGGGATATTCAGGGAACCTCTTCAAACAATTTTTACCTCTGCAAAAACAGTAACATTTGGGGTATATTTTTAGAAAACCTTATTCTCACAATTTTTCTTCAGTGAAGCATTATTAGTTCAAACCTTAAGCCAGTGAGGGCCAGATCTTAGCTAGTACCACTCGGCATATCATAATTGTTTATCCCAGATGAAGATCTGTCTCCAAGAAACCCTTATATGCCTAACTAGGTTCTGATCCTCTAATGTACAGGTAGACTCCAGTTGCCAACATTTTTCCAGGGTGAAATCTCCAGATAAGGTGGTGGCTCTGAGTTACTGGAGGGTTCTGAGCACAGATGGTGAATTTATGTTACATACAATATGATGCTTTAATCATATGTGTAAAAAAAAATTACACCTGTTTGCATGAAGCTCTGTGGGATTTCTTTCGGTGGTCTGCAAGGGTCTGCTCTTGATTTTTGTTGCCTGGGTTCGAGCTGCCTGCCTTTAACAAGTTCTGTCTCAATGAGCAAGTCTACTCTGGACCTCCCGAAACATGGGATGGGCAGCACTCGTAGCCTATCAGTCACATGGCTTGGCCGCCTGCCTCCTGTGCCTAGGACCTGCCCATGTTTTAACCACAGAATCCCAACTTGGATTTTCACTCTGGAGAAAGGAGTAACATGGATGGTCTTAGTTCACACCCCTTTTTCACTCCCTTTTGGCTCTGTATCACTTCCCTTTCCAGGTCATACTATATTCCAACTATATTCAACAGGCAAGGGCCAAAAAGGAACTTAACTTTAGACTTCTAAGTCCATATTTAGGTATCTCAATAAGCAGCCTGATATTTCACAGGTGTTGACCACCCAGCAGTCCTCTCTGAAGACAATAGTAACAACCGGGGTGCTGGGTGCTTTTGAAAATCAGGCAATTACTTAGTTGCCAAAATATACGAGCCTAGTGTTAGACTCCTATTTTTTAAAATAATCTCAGCTGCGTTACCTCATTTCTCACACCGATGCAAAGTTACGCCTACTCCAGCTACCGAGTGCGTTTTCTGTTACAAAATAGAGTAAGTCAACTGAAGCCTGCCCAGGATTGAGCCATCAGACAAACTCTCCCCACACCTGCCCTCTTCTGTGTACAGCTTTGTTTTTTATGACAACGTAGAGCCCCATTTTCAAAAGAGCTCGGCACCCAACAGCTCCTGTTTAGGCCCCTACATATACAGCCAGATTTCAAAAGAGCTCAGGGCACCTAAGCGAAATGACGCCTGATGGACACCGAGCCCGTTTCAAAATCCAGCTCCAACTGCGAGCGTGAGCACTTTTGAAAATGCCACTTGGCCGTTTCCCTCATTTCCTTTAGTTCAATGGTCCAGTATCCTCAGAACCTACCCTTGTTGTGTACGCTGCTTCAGGGTCATCTTCTAGGACTCTGGACAGTCCGAAGTCAGACACTTTGCACACTAAATTGCTGTTGATGAGGATGTTTCTGGCAGCAAGGTCTCTATGTACGTAACCCATGTCTGACAGGTACTTCATGCCTGACGCAATGCCTCTCAGCATCCCAACCAGCTGAATGACAGTGAACTGCCCATCGTTCTTCTGCAAAGATAAGGGGGGATTTCAATCACAGTGTGCAGTGTTCTTCACACCCTGAGTTACACACATGCACAAATAACAGAGTCAGGGGCAAGTCTCATGCAAAGGCAAAATAGGGGAATTCATAATTAATGACCATGATGCTCTGGCCCAGAGGCTCCTGAAGGTGTCATAGTTTGGAATAGTGATCTCTAAAGACTAAGCTGAGACAACAGAGTTCTTAACTCATGATTAGGGAATTACCTAATGTAACACTTATAGTGTACACACATATCTATGTAAGCAGGGTCAGAATGAATTCTCCCCTTACAGCCTGTTAGGAGCGGGAGAGACCTCAGGAGTAAACTGTATTTACATGAACGCACCTACTCTGCTTAGATATCCAGCAGCTAGAGCGGTGTTGCTCAAAGTAATTAACTTTGGCTGGTGTTGGGTTACAAATCACTTTAGTACTGAATGCAGGGATAATGAAATGCTGTTATCAATGGTGCTGTCATTATGGTATAAATAAAGGGGAGGAGAACTGTGCTTAACCTGTCCCAAATGAGGGGGTCACCCTCAGTTGAAAGGACCCCAGTAAGCCAGGGGCTCAAATGCCAGACCCCTGTGAAAGTAAGAGGGGTGAGGACTCTCCACAAGTGTCCCCATTCTGGTTTAACCTGTTCCTCCCCACTGTTCAAAGAAAGGGCTAAATGGGCTTCATTAGGAGCCTCTTTGTTACTTTAAATGTTCAATCAGAGCTGAAATCAGTTGTGGTGGAACTGTGTGTCTGCCCAGCCTGCTACGAGCTAAAATCACTAAGGACTTGTCTACACTGGCACTTTACAGCGCTGCAACTTTCTCACTCAGTGGGGTGAAAAAACACACCCCTGAGCACTGCAAGTTTCAGCTATGCCCCTCGTGGAGGTGGGTTTTTATATACGCTGGGAGAGCTCTCTCCCACCACTGGTGCCGTGACTACACAAGGCACATTAAAGCGCTGCCGTGATCTAACATTGCTAGTGAAGATGTGCCCTAAGAGAATGACCTGCAGAGGTCACAGTGCAGACGCAGGTGGCAACAGAAGTTGACTGACTGATGGGCGGCCGGCAGGACCGGCCTGTGAGAGCAGCGAGCAGGTGGCTGGCGAGGCGGCCAGTAGAGCGAGTGGCTGGCAGGGCGGTCAGCGGACCAAGCAGCTTGCAGGGTGGCCCGAGCAGCTGGCAGGGCAACCAGCCAGAACAAGTGCTCAGATGGCGGAGCAAGGAAGGTGCCTTCTTCCCCGGGTGGGAGGTGAACTCACACAGATGCACGTCTGAACCCTGGGTCCTCACTGACCAAGGACAACCACTGTGAGTGGGGTATGATGAGGGAGCAGAGGTGGGCACAGTAAAGGGACTTTTGGTTGGAGAACTCAAGAACATGAGGCGGAAGGCACTGCCCCACGCACTCTGGGGTGGGTGACCTGCTCACAGTTTTATGGTTATGAATCCTGCTTGTGTCATTTTCCCTAATTAATGTCAGGTGACTTCTCTCCTTTCATTAAAAGTTTCTTTTCTACACTCAGACTCTTTTTTTGTGAGTGGGGGAGTATTGGTTCTCAGAGGCACCCAGGGTGGTGTGTAATTTTCCCAGGTCACTGGGTGGGGACTCGAGTCAGTTCTGTGTTGTACGGTTGAAAAGGAACCCCTAGATATTGAACCGGCCCTGGTTGCTGCTGGCTCCACCTGGCAGAAGGGTTACATATGTAAAAACCCCATGGATGACAATCCCTCCGAGTCAAGGTTGTAAACAACATAGGTCACATGCAACCCCCCCCCCCCCCCCCCGTGTGTCTTGCCCACATGATCTAATCCTCACTACTGACAAAATGCCATCAAAACACATGTAAATCTTTACTCCACAGGGTCATTTGGAGGGTTGGTGCCAAAATGCAGCTGTATAAAGGGAGGCATGAAAACCAGTGCTTTTCGATGCAGAGCTCCTCACAGAAAGAAAACGAAGGCTTTGTATTTTGTTGTTATTCTATTTATTTGTTGTTATTTTATTTATTTGTATTGTGGTAGATGGAGCTAGGACTTGGGGAGCTGTAACTCCACCAGCACTTCACAGTATTTCCCAGGGGGAATGTCCTTTACAGGAGACCCCACTGTCCTCCAAGAAAAACCATCTGAGCATTTTGAATCTTACCTTTAAAAATGTGTCAAGAGAGCCATTCTCCATGTACTCTGTCACTATCATTACTGGCTTACCTGAAAAAAGGAAGATCACAAGTTTATTAGCTGCAATTCATCTAAAAGAAACCCCCCCGAGTTTGTCCACTCTGATTCTTAATGTGCACACACAGCCATGCTGAACCCATCTGTCAATCACAGATGTGTACAGATACACAGTGAGAGACTGTCCCTGCCCCAAAGAGCTTCCAGTCTAAATAGACAAGACTTGCAATGGGTGGGATAAAGGAAATATTTTTATCCTCATATTAGAGATGGGGAACTGAGTCACAGAGCGGTTAGGTGATAAGGTCACACAGGGATTCAGGAGAAATTGAACCAGATCATGAGTCCAGCCCAGGGCCTTAACCACCAACTCAGCTTCGTCTTTTCTCCTTGAGTGAGCTGAAAGCCTGTGAAACGTGCTGTGCCCGAAGGAACCCAGGTTCCATTGCACCAGATGAAACTTCCCAACCATTGTGGGGAGCTAAGTAGATGGAGGAGGAGAAGGAAGCAGAGTGGCCACTCTTGCGGATGTTGAACTGTATGAGGTACTGAAGAACCTCTGCGAAGACCTACCAAACCCGGCACAAAAGGGAGGAAGTAGAACTTCCAATCACAACCCCCAAACCCTCTCCAAGCTCCAACCCAGGACTGTGTGAAGGAATGTCATCACACACATGGATGCAAAAATGTACTACATGAGGTCTAAATGACGTGACCTCTTGTACAAATGGGTGATATTCATTCTAGGTATCATTCCAGTGATGCTGGGGGGACAAATGTGGCCCGATGATTTGTGCTTCATCATGAGTGTAGCGGGTTCAGAGCACTCAGTGCTATGCTGCAGCTCTTTTGCCCAGGTGGAACAGTGCTCCAGGTGAAGGCAATAATCAGTGGGAAAAACATGATTGGTGCGTATGTGGAATGCCCGTTGCCCTTTTTTTTCAGATAGGTATTTTTTTGATTTTTTAGCCTATGGAACTCATTGCCACAGGATGTTGATGCCAGGAACTTAGTGGGATTCAAAGAAGGATTAGACACTTCTATGGATAACAACAATATCCAGAGTTAAAATAGCAACTACATTTAAAAAAATACTTTGGAAGTGAATACCCTACGCTTTAGAGTTTAAACCAATCTCTAACTAGTGGAGGCAGATCATCATAACTGCCTACTAAGGGTTTTTTGTTTGCTTGTTTGTTTTTTACACTTTCCTCTGAAGTACCAGGTGCTGCCCACTGTTAAAGACAAAATACTGAAGTAGATGGACCATGATGCGTTAGACTATAGCAGTGTTTCCCAAACTTTGGATGCCGCTTGTGTAGGGAAAGCCCCTGGCGGTCCGGGCCGGTTTGTTTACCTGCCACGTCCATAGGTCCGGCCGATCGCGGCTTCCACTGGCCGCAGTTCGCTAGTCCAGGCCAATGGGGGCTGCTGGAAGCGGCGGCCAGTACGTCCCTCAGCCCGCGCTGCTTCCAGCAGCCCTCATTGGCCTGGAGCAGCGAACCGCGGCCAGTGGGAGCCGCGATCGGCCGGACCTGCGGACGCGGCAGGTAAACAAACCGGCCCGTCCCACCAGGGGCTTTCCCTGCACAAGCGGCATCCCAAGTTTGGGAAACACTGGACTATAGGATGGACACGCTGACTCAGTACACCAGTTTCTGTGTTTAAAAAGAAGTGCACCCAATTACACCCAGGAACCCTGCTAGAGTTGCAATTAGAGCCAGAATTTGGCTGTGGATATTAAGTATACTCTCTACTGAATACGGTAACAGAAAAAGGAAGGATTTTCTCCAGATATGTGTACTGAAAATATGGCCTAATTCAGGGAGTAAGAAAAAAGGTGATCCAAACACAAGTTCAAAAAAGACTGCGGCCTCCAACAGTTGGTAGGAATAAGAATGTTTTTCCAACTCCATTTGATGAATTTTCATGCCCGAGTCATTTTAATGGTAATTATATATAGTTTTTGCTCAGTTTTTATATCTAATTTCTCGCTAGCTTGCCACAACGAGATAGCAATAATTAGTGTGGCTTGCTCCAGGCCTTGTAAAATCAATGAAATCTTATAAAGAACATGTAAATTATTTTTTATTTAAATCAATTTCCATTAACTAGCATGAAGCACAGACAAAAGAGAAACCATCAATTATTTCTAAACTGCATTACAATGACTCGCGTAGAAATGATCAGCTAAAGCTGCTGCATGTCATAACATGATTATAAAGGTAACTGCTCTTAAAATAATTTCCTATTTTGCTGTTTAAGTTGATCTCAATCTTTGTACATTCCTGTCATGTTAATTGACTAATAAATTTGACTAATTTATGGTTTAATAATCTACGTAAATAAACATAATTGTGTATTCATCAATCAAAACACTGAGTGCCGTGCAGATACGACCCTGGAGCATTGTGGGTTTGCATTTCTTTAATTTCTTAATGAGCATTGGAGTTACCCCCTTGTATGAGTTAAAGATTTGGCAGCTGTATTATTATTCATATTACTGTGGCAGCTCAGGGCTCTACATGAGATCAGGACCCTGTACAAACATAGTCTCTGCCACAAAAAATCTTACAATCTAAACAAATAAGGACAGGAGAGGAAACAGAGGTGTGGTCACTGGATGATCAGTGGCAAAACTAGGAACAGAACCCCGCTCTTTAGTACTTGAGCCATCAACCCCTTGCCACTGCCGCTCCCTCAACAGTGGTATCGCTCTCGCCATTATAACGACATTTGGTGTTTGTCCTCTGTCGATCTTAGGTGCTTCAGGAAGGAGGGTGTGTATTGTAATCTCTGTGTGCAAGAGGGGGAATCTGAGGTATCGATCGGTGAAGTGACTTGCCCAACATCATATAGCAAGTCTGTGATTGAACTTGGAACAGAGCTCTGTGGCCTCCCTATTCGCTCGCCCCATTCGGCTTCCCTGAGTCAAAGTTCGCTACAAAGCCCTAAGACTGTTTGCTGGGAGAACCTCTGACCTGGCAGGTCGGCCACCCCTGAAGTGAATGATAAATGATTACCTCTCAGTGAGTGCTCTAACCACTGGTCTATAGAGCGATCCTCAATTGTCCTCCGGCCCAATTAATATTTAATTAATGTGGGATGGCTTGAACAAGAGAGACTGAGGGAGTCCCATATCAGAATACCCCATAGTCAGAGCACTCACCTCAGAGAGGGGAGATGTCAAAAATCCCTTCTCCTCATCAGGCAGAGTGGGGAATTGATATGAGCCCCCTACATCCCAGGCATGTACCCTGGGCCCCCTACATCCCAGGCATGTACCACTGGGCTTAGGGTTATGAGGGAAGCTCTACAATGCCTGAGTCCCTGTGTAGATCTGAGCCTGTTCGCCTTTAAATCAGTACCAATGATGACATAGCAGCATCTGCTGGAAACAGCTGTACAAACGTAACTGGATTTCTGCTCCGCTCTCCTACTTCTTCTGTAGGAGCGGGGCAGCGTTTTTTCCCCAGAAGAGTGTAAAGCGCTCTTTCCTCCCATTCAAGGAAGAGCTGGCAGAGCACACCATCCTATAGAAGAAGTACTCAGCACCTTGCAGGACCAGGACTGGGGTTTCTTTCTTCTAGACAAGTTCAGGCTTGCTCAGGGTCTGGTATATTCCCATGCTGCTATTCTTTGAAAGGTTGTTGGTTTTTAATGTGAAAAAAAGTCAGTCTTTTAAATAAAAAGAGCCCGTGAAACTCCCCAAAGCCCCTGCTGTGCGTGTATTACAGCAAGATGTCTCTGTGCATCATAAATGAGTAATTGAAGGTAAAAGACAGGCTCTTCGGTCATAAAATCTCTGCAGACATCGCTGCATTTATGGTGTGCCCCGTTTAAGGACAGATTGCCAAGGACTGTAAAGTGGGGTCCCTTATCTCTGACACGAACAGGCAGTGTTAGAGGAAGGATTGCAGCTCAATCTGACACCACATTGAGGAGTACTACTCAGGGCCGGCTCCAGCATTTCTGCCGCCCCAAGCAAAAAGAAAAAAAAAGCCGTGATCGCAATCGCGATTGGCGGCGGCAATTGGGGGGGGGGGGGGCTGTGATCGACGGCGGCAGGTCCTTCGCTCCTAGAGGGAGTGAGGGACCTGCCGCCCCCCAATTGCCGCACATGCTGCCCCTCTCCCTTGGCCGCCCCAAGCACCTGCTTGTTAAGCTGGCGCCTGGAGCCGGCCCTGGTACTACTTCAGGCTCCCAACTTCAGTCTCAATTAGAAGATTTCCTACCACTTATGTTTCATTATCAGTGTGCTGCAAATTGAGAGCAATTGTAGAATAAATTAGCATCATACCAGCCAGCATGAAACTAAAATTACAAACAGAGTGAGATTCAACAAGTGCCGGCACAGGGACAGGGGGGTGGGAGGTCATAGGAGCCTAGATAAGAAAACGACCCCAAAATCGGGACTGTCCCTATAAAATCGGGACATCTGGTCACCCTAGTCATTTACACAAATGTCAGGCATATACTGGTAGATCAGTGAAAAGGGGCATGAATGTAGCTCAGGCCCTGATCAGCTTTGTGAAACGGACTTGTCTCTTTGTGGCACCGAGAGACTAAGTGAGAAGCCTGTGGCAAAGTAGGGAATTGAACCCTTCAGAGAATTTTTACTGATGAGAAAGTGAGGTGCAGAGAAATGATGTGACTTATGCAAGGGCACACAGAAAGCCTTGCTAGAACACAGAATGGAATGCGGGTCCCCCAGTCCCAGGCTAACACCTACCCATTCCTCCGGCCTCCCACGCATTTGCACAGGGTAAAATGTCACTCCATTGGTTTAGGTAGGCACTTACAGGATTCAGGGCCTCTCATTGACTCCCAATAGGGCTTGGGCTCCTAAATCCCTTAGGCAGATCTGAAAAATCTCCCCATGTTTATTATCCAGCATTCACTCTATTTTTCAGATGACTGTGTGCTAATTATGTAAACAATCCAGGACTTTGTTGGGGTTTGTTGTTTATATTTAAAAATGTGGTTTTCTTTAAAAATGGAATTTTAGCCTGATAAAGATCAAGAAAGGGGTCAGTGGCTACAGTTTTGGATGGACTATTGAAAGAGGAGGTAAACATGGTTTTACATTACTTAAATTTAGATTACATTTTGATTTTGAATTTAAATTAATTATTTTCCCTCCAGCTCTTGACAATTTTGGGGTTTGGGAACTGAACCGACTTTCTATATAAAATTTCAACTGAAGTCAACAAACGGGCTTACACCAAGAGTGAGTATGACGTCACCAAGGGACAGGGGACTTGGAATGTAGAAAGCAACAGGTGATCCAGAATTTCATTAGATTATTCAGAGCTTTTTCTTTCAGGATCCTCCCTCTTCTTAAAGAAACAGACTCTTAACGTAAGGTAGGGCAACTCTAGTTCTTTTAGTTTGAAGCTTGATTACATGTGAGCCAAGGGCACTGAATTAAAAACTATGCCTGTAAAATATTCCACTTGCTCCTGAATAGTTGCAGGAATAGTGGCAAGGAAAAGGCATATCCAGAAAGGACCTTAGCTAAGGCCTTAATACAAGTGGAGGCAGTTCACAATGGACCAGAAGCCCAAGAGACTCAGTGGTTGAAGTGCAGTACCAGTGACAGCTCTTATTCACCCATGCAGATCAGCTTGAAGGGACAGAACACAACAACGGAAATAGACCCAGGGTTGACCAAGATTAGCTAACTCTTCTAAAGCAATTTTTAAACACATTTCTGTGTTAGTTCAGACAACTTCTTTTCTAAGCTATATGGCATACGAAGGGATGCTATTGGTTGAATGGTATGTGTCAGTGTCAGAAGCAAACAAGACAAAGTTAAAGAAGTTCAGGGGTGGAGTGGGCAGGGCTAGTATTTTCTGCTTATTTAGTGGTGATTTTCTTACTCTCATATGAATTATAATATATGATGTAACTGATATAAGTACCATATAGATGGAGGCCGATAGATCTGCAGTCAGGAGATTGGTGAACACATGATAACTTGCCTATGGCTGAATTACCTGTCCTCTAATCCCTCTCCCTGAGATTTAATCTCACATCCAATCCCCTGAGCAGCTTCAAAGATTTGAAGTCAATGGAAAGATTTGTGCAGATTTCAATGACTTTGGATCAGACCCTCAAACAGCATTGCTCTAAGAAAAACCAACCCTCCTTCTCTAAATGTGGAATTCTGACCCACAAGTAACACCTATCCAAGGCCCAGGAGGCACAAGACTCAGGCCTGGATCAGACCAAAAAAAAGTCACAGTTTGATTTAGTTGTGGATTGGTCCTGCATTGAGCAGGGAATTGGACTAGATGATCTCCTGAGGTCCCTTCCAACCCTGACATTCTATGATTCTATGATTAAAGTCCAATATTACACATCCATGTAGGGCTAGACAAAAGAGTTTTCCACCAAGAACCATAGAAGGGTCATAGAGATCATATGACCTGGCAGATCATGCATTGGCCTGAGACTGTGGTTCTGTTCCCAACTTGGTCAGTGACTTTGGGTTAGCCACTTTAACGGCTCTCTGCCTCAGTTTCCCCATTTATAATAATGATACTGACCTCCTTTGTACTGACGAAAGTGCTACATAAGAGCTAGGCATTCTCATCATGTTGGTTTTATGCCTAGAAAGGCTATGTAAGGTTAACGCTGAGAGTGTTTGATGTTCTCTTGCTCTGTTGAACTCATGGTACCTAAGGCACCAGGCTTCTCATCCCAGATTCATACCGATAAAACCTCTACACTACGCCTCACAACCATGTAGTCCACGGTTAGTTAGATAGAATTGTTCATTGGACTTTAGCTGTTAAGTGATATATTTTAAAGTTACCTTTCATTGTACTAGTTATATACTTTGTAAATACTAATATAAAGACGAATAAAAAATGGTGCCTATTATTTTTCCCATCTAAATTTTTCTATAGGCAAAACTCAGAAATGGAATGGGTAAATTGGGAGGGTTAGGTTAGACACCAAACTACCTGATTTGCACATGCAAGTGCAGGCTGTGCGTACCCCCAAAGCCATAGGATATTTTTCATTATTTTAGTTTTTTCCCTAAATCTTTTAAGAAATTAAATCTAGTACAAACGCAATAAAAAGCGTCGACTGCAAACAAACATCACTTCTCAAAATACTGCAGATAATGTAGATAAGCAAAGATAAAGTGAGTGGCTAGAACTTTTTATGGGCTTTTGTTTTGCAAATCCCAATTAAAACACCTCATTGCTTTAAAAAAAAGAACCATAACATTTGCGAAGCTATCTCTGGTGACTGTGGGATATCACATGATTTTTGCCACAATACCAATAATGTTGGTATTTAAATGGTTCCAACCAACCTTTGAAGTTAACCCTCATTAAGGTGGGTAGACTAAAGTGGGCATTTCTCAGCTGAAGAATTTTTTTTCCCCTGCAAGGCTGAGTTAAAACTAAATAGGTTAATATTGTTAAAGCCCTTTGCAACAACAACAAAAAGGCTACAAATAGCTTCCTTTAATGAAGCTCAATTTTTGCTGGAAACAGCCAAAAAATCCTGCAAATGATTAAAACTGGATGCCTGACCCCACACTATTGTAAATCTGCAAAGCGCCAGAGAAAGCTGGTTTATACCAGCTGGGGCATCTGGCTCAACATCTTTAACCCTATCATCTCAGTTTTGTTCAAAAACTTCGTTTGGACTTGAACATTTCCATGCTTATTTTCAGACCAGAAACGATTTGTCTGAAGCAAACCATTCAAGCTGTTTTGGAGTGAAAAGCCAATAAAAACGTAACGTCTTCCTGATATTTGCAAAAGACAAACAAGCACAACCCTTTTGTGTGTCTCTACAGCTCCCATATGGGCTGGTTGTTCAAGCTCAGAGGTCTCATCCATTCAGTCCATCTTAAAATCTGGAGTCTGGAACAAAACTGGTCTGAAGAAATTATTTAAGGTTATTTTGCTACCCGACCAGTTAGACTCCAGGGGCATTGGTACTGGGATTATAGTCAATGATTTGACAATCAACCTTTCCCCAGGAACCCCACACACTCCTGCTCCCAGTAAGGTGGATTTCTATTACTCCTGGTACTGCTAGCAGTTCTAGAGGGAGCTTGTGTTACAGTATATCTACATTGCAATCAGAGGTGTGACTGCAGCATGTGTAGACACACCTGAGCTAGCTTTGATGGCAGTAGCTTGAGTAACAACAGCAGTGAAGCCAAGTCATAGCACAGGTTGTACAAGCCCACCTGGGACTCTGGGTATGTATTCGAGTGACCAGTCTGTGCTCATAGAATCATAGAATCTCAGGGTTGGAGGAGACCTCAGGAGGTCATCTAGTCCAACCCCCTGCTCAAAGCAGGACCAATTCCCAACTAAAGCAGCTCCAGTGCTACGGTTCTGATTATAATGTAGACATGCCATTAGTTAAGGTTATTCAGAGTCCTACCCTGTTCAGATGTGCTTCTACCCCACTCCCCTGCTACCAGAGCTCCTACTGGCATCTTTTATCCCCAGTAAAGGGGCCACTCAGTGCAACAAAAATAAGTCTACTCACAGCACTGCAGGCTGGGAACTTGCTGCATTATTTAACTGCATCACAACAGAGTGGGAGGAAGGAAGGGAAAGGTGGAGCATGGCACCATCCCATAGTGTTCTGGGTAACCCAGCTAATCCAATCATGACAACTTTCCTGAAACACTACAACTTAGAAGACCTGTGTTCTTTTCCCAGCTCTGGTCACTAACTGGCTGGATGACCTTGGGCAAGTCACTTCACCTCCTTATGCTTTGTCTTGTCTAAATAGCTTGTAAACTCTTCAGGATTGGGAGTACCTCTCCTTGTGTGTGTACAGTACCTAACACAATGGGGCACATTGTGAATTTTTTAGTTTGTAGTTTTAGTAACTACAATGTTCCTTCCTGGCTGTTTTTGTGAGAGATGACAAGTTTAGCAACCTTTATTTTAAAGTTGAACAAGTTCTCCTGACTCCCGGGGTTATAACTAATATCAACCCATTTGCTTCATCAATGAGCAGAAGTCTACAGCAGCGGGTACGTACTTTTTGTGACAACACCTTCCAAGTGAATGATATTGGGATGGTCAAACTGTCCCATGATGCTTGCTTCCCCCAGGAAATCTCGTCTTTGCTTTTCAGTGTAGCCCACTTTGAGGGTTTTTATGGCCACTGGAAACTCGCGTTTTCCAGGGAGTTTCAGACGCCCACTACAAACTTCCCCAAATTCACCTGAAGAGAACAAAGTAAATAATTAGTGTATGTCTGAAAAGCACCTTGCACATTTATGGACATTTCAGTACATTAGTAACAATAAATGATGGTTAATGATAAACAAGGATGACATACATACATGATAGTAACACAAGAAGGGACAACTACAATTATCTAGTCTGACCGCCTGAGTAACACAAGCCATAGAATTTCATGCCCTCAAGATTGTTCTAGAGGCCAGAATCTTGTGGCCAGAATCTTGTGGAATTGGTCCTGCTTTGAGCATGAGTATATCTTTTAGAAAGACACCCAGCCTAGTTTCACAGACTCCAAGTGATGGAGAATCTACCACATTCCTAGGTCAGTTGTTCCAATGGTTAATGACCCTCACACTTAAAAAGCTGCCTTATTTCCAAATTGAATTTTCCTAACGTCAACATCGGATTAGGTTATGCCTTTGTCTGTTAGATTAAAGAACCCTCTAGTATCAGACATCACTAGAATACATTGCCTAGGGCGGTTGTGGAATCTCCATCATTGAAGATTTTTAAGAGCAGGTTAGACAAACACCTGTCAGGGATGGTCTAGATAATACTTAGTCCTGCCAGGAATGCAGGGGACTGGACTAAATGACTGCTCAAAGTCCCTTCCAGTCCTATGATTCTATGATCTATGATCTTCCTGTGTAGGTAATTACAGAGCATGATCAAGTCACCTCTGAACCCTGTCTCGGGTAAGTTAAATAGACAGAGCTCCTTTAGTCTTCATTGTAAAGTGTGAGACAAGGCAGTTGAGGTCAGGTAATATCTTTTAACGGACCAACTTCTGTTGGTGGAAAGTACAGCTTTAGTGCTACACTGAGATCTTCAGGTCTGGGGAAGGAAATCAGAATGTCTGAGCTAAATACAACTTGGAATAGATTGTTAAGCATAAGGGTAACATGTTGTAGGTGGTCACCTGAAAGGAAGTGGACAATTGAGGGTTAGATTGTTATACATAAAAGGTTTGAAGTGGGTAGTTAAGGGTAGCAGACAGTCTGGTGTGTTACAAATTGTTGTCATGAGACATAAAACCAGTGTCCCTGTTAAGTCTGTGGTCTTTGGTGTCTAGCAGAGTTATGAAATTAAGTTCCCAGGCTTGTCTTTTTGAGGTATTGTGCAGGTTTCCTTTGAAGATGTATACTGAAATATAAGATATGGAGCTTTGTGAAAAGTGTTTGCCCATGGGTGACAGGGCGACTTTGTCTTTTCAATCACTATGCTCTCAGAATAACTCACATAAAAAATGATAGAAAAAAAACAAACACTTCACCTATCTTGTCTCTCTCATATCCTGGGATCAATATGCCTACAGCAATACAGCAAACAACATTGGAAGGTGTGTTTCCTGCACCACAATTCATTCTCAAAGTTCTTCTCTGAACCCGTTCCAATTTTTCAACAACCTTTTTAAAGTGTGGACCCCAGAACTGGACATGGTATTCCAATTGTGGTCTCACAAGTACTGTATACTAAGGTAACCACTCACAATGGGCATACACAATACAAATATTTGACCGGCCTGTTCTGTGATTTTGAACAGCAATGCGATAAGCTCCTCCAGGATGTTAATGGCAGTTAGAAGATGGTCATTAAACATAGCTCCATACCGGCTCCGATAACTCTTTCAATTGTTATGCATGAAGCTTCAATTTCCTTGGCAAATTCATGGACGGCTTGATTGGGGTCTTCATAGGTATGTGGGTCAATATAAGTCCTTACTCCGGGCAATTTAACTGTAAACATAAATTAAAATTTAAATGGCACATGTAGTGATGGGTGAGGATAATACTAAGCTTGTCTCCTGTGCCGACTTTACTCACACTGGAGAACACTGTGGAGGAAAACTGATTTTCATGCAAAAATTAATAGCTGAACACTTTTTAAATACTTTGTATCTTGAAATGCAAGGCAGGTAAGCACTGCTGGAAAAATGTTACATTGTATTATTTAAGAAGAATATGGTACACACATAACTTTCCTTATTACATTCAAAACCACTGGGGTGATATTCAGCTAAAATGATATACAGACTTATAGGCTATATAAGTGCTGGCCGGAGACAGTAGTTAGAGTGTTAGCCTGGGTTAGTAGATCTCAGTTCATTCCCCTGCACCGCCACAGACCCCTGTGTGACTTGGGTCAGTTATGTAGGCCCAGATTTTTAAAGAGACAAGGAGGGTGAGTTAATATCTTTTACTGAACCAACTTCTGTTGGTGAGAGCGTCAAGCTTTCAAGGTTTCACAGAGCTCTTCGGGTCTTCTCCCACACCTGAAGGAGAGCTCTGTGTGAGCTTGAAAGCTTGTCTCTCTCACCAACAGAAGTTGGTCCAATAAAAGATATTATCTCACCCTCCCTGTTTCTCTAATATCCTGGGACCAACATGGCTACAGCAACACTGCATACAACCAGGGCCACCCAGAGGATTCAGGGGGCCTGGGGCAAAGCGGGGGAGCTGTGGCGCTTGTACTCACCCGGCGGCGGTCCAGGTGTTCAGCAGCATTTCAGCGGTGGGCGGCCCTTTAGTCGCTCCGCGTCTTCGGCAGCACTGAAGGACCCGCCGCCGAAGACCCAGAGTGACTAAAGGGCCCCCCACCGCCGAAATGCCGCCGTTCACCCGGAGCAACTGAAGGCCCCCCTGCCGCCGAAATACCGCCAAAGACCCGGACCGCCACTGGGCCAGGGCTTGCGGGGCCAGTGCAGGGCCCAGGGCAAATTGCCCCACTTGCCCCCCTCCCCGCCCCCCTGGGCGGCCCTGCATACAACAGATTTTTGAAGGTATTTAGGCACTGCTGCACTCAGTGTTGCAAAATCTAACTGATTTAGGAGCCTAACTCTCATTTTCAAAAGGAGTTTAGACCTTCAGGAGCCAACATCCCATTGACAGTCTATGGCATTTAGACTCTTAAGGGCTTAAATCGCTTTTGAAAAATGAGATGTAGGTTCCTAAATCCATTAGGCATTGCAACGCTGAGCACATCAATGCTTAATTACCTTTACAAAACTGGATTTTATTCTCAGATCCCCATCTGTAAAACTTGATCATCCTGCCCCACCTCACAGCTATGCTATGACATTAAAAGTCTGTGAGGTGCTCAGTGTTATGGAATAAAGACCATAGAGAGAAGATAGCCTAGGTGGACAACCCAGCCAGGGGAAAGGTGGACTGAATGTGAAAGGCCAGCAGGGAAGAAATACAAAGGACCAGATTTTCAAAAGAGCTCAGTTCCCATTTAGACACATGGGGGGAGATTTTCCCCCCTAAGTGATTTGTGCTCCTAATTTTTGAAAATCTCCTCTCTAACTGAGAACAACAGGAGTTGCTGTGTGCTGAGTCCATTTGAAAATCTGGCCCAAAGAAACCATCACCCTCAGGCTGTGGAACTGCAATGAATTATACCTATCACCTAATCAACTACATTAGTTCAAATAGCATGATCATGAATTAAAAACTGCCCAGATCACATGTTTGCAATACAACACATCTTCAGGGTTGCACTCCTATGTAATAATAATAATAATTAATAATAATAAATCAGTAATAGGCTTTTTCCATGGGACTCAGGAGGGGGAAGGTACTTTCACAAGAATTATTGTTACTATTATTGTAAGTTTGCTTTGAGAAGCATTAAAACTACTAGCAGAGTAACTACTCATCCGTTTGAGTAAGAGGTTCACAATGCAGTCCTTGAATTGATTGGCTTCCTGCTGCCTGCATTAAATAACAGTGATAGAGATTTGAATATACTCTAGTGCGGACAAGGTAAAAATGCTTTAGATAAGTAACACCTAGCTCTTATACAGAAGCACTTTTCATCTACAGATCCCACAGCACTTTACAAAAGTTTTGTAAAATCTGACCCTAGATTTATAGAAGGGCTATAATAGTACTTCACATGTTCAAGTCCACCTACAATTGTTAACTAATTAATTCTCACAACATCCTAGTGTGGAAGGAGAAGTATTATACAGCTGAGGAAACTGAGTCAGCGAGCTGAGGTGGGCTAAGTCCACATTGTTAGCAAAGAGAAAAATCTTCAGGTTCCAAACCTTGTGTTCTTTCCTCCAAACTACAAAAGTGTCTGGCTGCAATGGATTAACCAAGCAAGCTAAAAAATTATGTGCGTCATGTAGTAGAGGATGAGGAATGCAATAAAATTGTTGAGATATTACTGACTAAAAAGGTAAGTTATCATGAAATCACTCAGTCGGGCCTCAATCCTGCAAAGACTTATGCATATGCTTAACTTTACACACGAGTACTCCCACTGAAGTCAATGGGACTATTTTATGCATAAAGTTAACAATGTTCTTAAGTCTTTGCAGGATTGGGGCCTTATTGCATAACAGAATAAACTGATCTCTTTTTCTACTGGATACCAACTGACCATTTGCTGAAGAAATCTCGATTGTTATTCATTATTCTTAGTACCATGTGTGACAGCGTACCCCATAAGGCTTTATGGGGAGGGGGTGCTTATAAATGTATGTATGACATAACTGGAATACGTTTTGTGCTGCCTGTGCCAGGTAACATATCTCCGTAAAGGTTATGGTCTACTATATCTATTCATCCTATTTGTACATATATATATCATTTTCTACTTGAGGTTAAGAATATGGGCTGTATGCTTGCTTGGTTTCTAAGTAAGCTTTGGGAGGCATTTGGTCAGCTTCTTTAGGAAGGAATTCGCCAGGTTAAGTACCTGATCAGGGAACAATGCATCTTGGAATGCTCCAATCCACATAAGAAGTCTTCCTGGAGACATGCAAGATTCCATGTGGGCAATGGCTTCAGCCTGTAAAGACTGAGTCATGCAGGGACATGTGACTTGCCCAGGTGACTCCAGAACTCCATCTTGGAGCTGGACTTTGCATAGGAGGGAGGAGGGGGGTCTCCTCCCACAAGAGAGAGTCTATTTAACCCTGGGAGAGACCCCTCCATTTTGGTCTTCAGCTGGCTAAAGAAGGAGCCTCTCCAACCCCCCAGGATGCTTGAAGGAAACTGAAACAAAAGACAGTAACTACAGGGGTGTGATAGGTTTCAGAGTAGCAGCCGTGTTAGTCTGTATCCGCAAAAAGAACAGGAGTACTTGTGGCACCTTAGAGACTAACAAATTTATTAGAGCATAAGCTTTCGTGGGCTACAACCCACTTATTGCTGGACCCAAGCTAAAGGGAGATTAGCCTGTAAAAGGGAGCATTCTGGAACTGGTGAGGAAATTATCTGTATTTAGTTTGATTAGGCATAGATTTGCGCATTTTATTTTATTTTGCTTGTGACTTACTTTGTTCTGTCTGTTACTACTTTGAACCACTTAAATCCTACTGTCTGTATTTAATAAAATCACTTTTTATTTAGTAATTTACTCAGCGTATGTATTAATACCTGGGGGAGCAAACAGCTGTGCATATCTCTCTATCAGTGTTATAGAGGGCGAACAATTTATGAGTTTGCCCTGCATAAGCTTTATGCAGGGTAAAACGGATTTATCTGGGTTTAGACCCCATTGGGAGTTGGGCATCTGAGTGCTAAAGACAAGCACACTCCTGTGAGCTGTTTTTGGGTAAACTTGCAGTTTTGGGACAAGTGATTCAGACCCTGAGTCTGTGTTGGAGCCAGACAGGAGTGGCTGGCTCAGCAAGACAGGGTGCTGGAGCCCTAAGCTGGCAGGGAAAACAGAAGCAGGGGTAGTCTTGGCACATCGGGTGGCAGCTCCCAAGGGGGTTTCTGTGATCCAACCCGTCACACCATGCAAAGCCAGAAACAGAAGCTGAGCCACAAACGCATATATGTATTTTAAATCTTTACTTACTGTGGCCGTTATGAAAGTGCATCTTTTCTTCTTCTGGATCTTGTTTAGCTTTGCTGTATCCACATCGCCTGGAACAGAATAAGCTTCGATTAATCAGATATCAGAAACCATTTCATTAAGTCAATCATAGGAAGCACAAGAACCCAGAACAGATTCACAGGGAGCCAATATACCTATGTCTTGCTGCAGAAATGCTATGCCAATGTTATGTCATCAAAATATTCCCCTTTGTCTTTTATTTATTGAGGAGGAGGTTTTTTTGAATTTGTCAGAGGGACACTCCCTGGCTCTTATCAGCAGTAGATCTCAAAATGCTTTACAAAGGAGAGCAGCATCACTATACCCATTCCACAGATGGGGAAACTGAGGCACGGAGTGATGAAATGATTTGCCCAGGGTCACCCAGCAGGCCAGTGGCGGAGCCAGGAATAGAATGCTATTCTCCTGAGTCCCAACGCTGTGCACTAGCCATTAGGCCACACTGCCTCCATCTACAAGGCCCACTGACTTTCAATTGGAAGTGTGCTCCTAAATCCTTTGGCTTGTTTTTTAAATCCCAGCCAAAAATATTGTTAGTTTTGCTATTATTAAAAAGAAAGGGATAATGAGGAACAGGGAAAGACAACTGGCAGGAATGTAATAAAACACAACAGTCCTAGTTAGCATTTATACAGCACTTTTCGATCTCAAACTCTTTACAAGGGAAACCAGCTGCCATTATCTGCATCTTACAGATAGGCCAAAAGGAGGGAGCATAAAATGAATGGGACTTGTCCAGGAAAACCTCACAACCTTCACAGATGGTTCATGCATTCCCAGAACTTAGTGGGTTTTCTGGGCAGCTCCAGCCTTTATGCACGGGTGCCATCATACATGCATTCCCCTCTTGCGTGCTAGTCACCTTACCTGCACAAATTCTGAGATTAGTGTTTGGCTGCTTCTGCCCGGGCATGACCATCACTTGCTTGTGCTGCTCCCCTTCCCTCTAGCTGGTGTTAGTGCTCTAAGATTACGTGGATACCTAAGCTGCTCCCGTTATGAAGATGTAATCAATGGAGAACGACATGGGCACAAGGGTGCATGGTGGATGGCAGGATGTATTCTGCACATACAGTATCCAGAATTTTTCAAACTCATCACTTATGAACCAAGGATCTGATCCATGTGGGTGGATCCTCCCTATAAAAATCTGCCTGTAAAGTGGAGCACAGGCTGCAGGAGGAAGGAAGGCTACATGTACAAGGCCAGCATGCTTACTGCAGCTGTAGCACCTCTGGCAGGCACCCTGGGTCTCAAACTCATGTGGGAGCCAAGCAACAGACTTACCCTCTGTACCACCGTACTGCAAGGTTTGATGAGGGAACCGCAGCTAGCACCCCACTGCCAGAGGCTCCACCCTCTGACTCAGCAGGGTCAGGTGACTAGCAGCGGACTGCTGATTGGACACCATCGGCTATAAAGCTTCCTGTTCCATTCCCACCCCTTGTCTGAGCAACTAGTGGCTAGCCTGGTCTGCTGATGCCGACCAGACTGCTGAGATCAAGTTCCTGCCTCCTTGCCTGGTTCTCGCTCCTGTTTCCTTGCTCTCCAGCTTTGACCCTTCTGGCTTGTGACTTCTAGCTCCCGTTTAACCCTCAGGCATGGCTTCTGCCTCTGCCTCCAGCTATGGCCTACGGCCTGACTCCTCACCACGACCCTGACTCTCCTTTAGGCTCTGACCTCTAGGTCAGACCATCCATGTTCTGCGCCCCGACGACCTCTGTAAACGGTTCTTAATAAACAGACAGTTTAGCTTTAGAAACATGGGAGTCCCGCTATCCTCCAGCACACGGCACATGAAACATGGTGGCCGCAGTCAGTCTAGTGAGACCCACAGTGAGATTAACAGGCCAAGAAACCAGCACTCAGAGCAAAGCAGCAGCTGTGAAACCCCCCCCCCGTCAGTCTACATGGTTGCAAGGGGCCAAGCCACAGACCCAATCGCCACACCAGGGCCTAAGAGTATTGTAAGGAGGCTAGTGGGAGAGTTGGGAGGCGAGGAAAGGAAGGAAGGAGGCGGTAGAGCTCATGGAAACAAAAGGGAGGCAGAGAAGAGAAGTGATAGAGCGGGTGGGGGAAGGGATGTTGAGAGACTACGGTTGGAGTGAGCTGAGGGTGGTGGGGCTGGCAGGTGACAGGGGGAGTCTTCAGTAAGCAATGAACCCCCACAGTGCAGAGCACGACCATGGCCAGCGCCGGCTCCAGCGTTTTTGCCACCCCAAGCGGGGGAAAAAAAAAAAAGCCGTGATCGGCGGCACTTCGGCAGCAGCTCTACCGCCGCCGCTTCATTCTTCGGCGGCTATTCAGTGGCAGGTACTTCCCTCCGAGAGGGAATGAGGGACCCGCTGCCGAATTGCCGCCGAAGAGCCAGACGTGCCGCCCCTTTCCGTTGGCCACCCCAGGCACCTGCTTCCTGGGCTGGTGCCCGGAGCCGGCCCTGACCATGGCAACGGTCAGGGGACTGTCACCAGCAGAGGGCAGCTAGCACTGAAATCAGAGGGTAATTTGGTAGCCAGGTTGGAGTCACTGTGATGTGGAGTCCTGGGCAGCAGGGAGCTGCTTTTTCTGGTGCCCTGACTCTGTTGCTGGGGCTGCAGCATGAGGCACTTACCAATGGCAAGGGCCTTTATAACCTTGCGCTAGGATGTGTATAGGGGTAGGGTGGTTTTGGGGCAGCCCTGGCTACGTATGTCTAGGGCAGCAGTGGCTAGTCTCTCCGATAGGGGCAGAAGCCTCTGCATTCCCTCCTGGGTCTGCTGATAATGGATATAGGCCGAGGCACTTTCCTGATGGTTGGTGGGTCTTTATAACCTGCCTTAGGCTTTACGCATTAGGGAGCGGCCTAGGCCCATGTCTGCAGTCTATCTACCGGTAAACAACATGCTGACATTGTTTTGGAAAGCACTGGGCATGCTGCACCAGCCTCATTAAAATATACACTCATCTTAAAATTCTTTGTCCACTTTTATAGGCAAAATCAAAATTAACCATTTGTATTTTCCTAAAGATCCACATATTGTCAGCTGTTTATTTTAACGTCCAGTCACATGCCACATGGTACCACCAGGTATTCTCTGGCTGGCTGGCTTAGTTGAGCTTCTGCTAGGGAATTATGGAAGTTTGACTTAGTCTCCAACAGTTCCCCTGGGCTTCCCAAAATATCCTAAAAGGCCCTTTGAAATTTCCTAGAATCATCTGCTTAGGGGTGCTGTCCAAGAGATGTGAGACAGTTACCCGAAGGCAGTGAAACTGTAGCGGTGTAGTACAGGAGCAGTGTGGACGTGAGGCAAAACTGAAATGGTCCTTAGCTCAAAACAGCATGGCTAATCTTGCTTTTGGGCTTACAATGGTGGTTGTCCACTTATTCAACCAGCAATTGTTCAATTTTCTAGTGTAGACAAGCCTTCTGTTTCATAAGAAAGTTAATTAAATCCTGCATTTCTTGCATGCCCCAAACTCCACCCAGCGGGTGAACACGATACTTCAGTGGGAGTTTTGGGTTCACCAGATCCAGAGCAGAGCTGCTTGAAAAATGTTGGGTATTTTCCCCACAGAAAATTTGCATTCCTTGTCAAAACTTGAAACACCCAAAACTGATTTTTGGTTGCTTTTTGGCAAACCAAAATATTTTCAGATGAAAACTACCAAAAAATGAAATATTTGTAGCTCAAAAAGTTTAATATTTTCACCTAAAAATTACCTGCAAATAAAATATTTTTTCATTTTCTAATAACATATTTTCAGTTCTGTGGATTTCAGTTTTTGGATAAAAAAATTTCAAGGAAAGTAGGCAATTTTCATGAAATTTTTAGTTAATCAAAACCCCAATTGTCCATTAAAAAAAAAGGGCCATTTTTCAACTAGCTCTATTTCCAGGAAAAGCATGTGTAAACCCTTCTCCTGTTTACCTTTTAAAGCAAACATGCACCTCTCTCTGTCACACTCAAATCTCTCATCTGAATCCCTCTTCTGTAAGTACTCTTTACTAACATTACCTTTCTCATTTAAACGGGGCTCCTGAAAATTTAATTGTATGGAGATGCCTACTACAAAATTGGAAATAAAACCTTTAATCCCTCACAAAGAGTGATCTAAGAATACATTGGTGCAAAGTGGTTAATGTTTTACTAGCTAGGGTGATATTCAGAGAGTCATTTTTGGTTGTGGCCATCTCTGGAGTTCTATAACATATGCAGCAGCATGTCACATATAAAATCAGGCTCTGGAACCCCTGAAAGCACCATTAAAACAAGCCTCAACAAAATGCAGCAAGTAAAATTGGTGTACAACTGGGTCTCAAGAAACGGTTCAGAATTGCTAACAAACCATTGTAGGAAACCTGTCCATTACATGTTATCTTCTGTCTCTGGCACTGATACACAGTCTTAACCAATCCGATAAATAAGCAATAAAAACCCATTCTTGGCTTAAATTGTACTTCTTCTCTTCTGGAATCTTAACAGTTTTGTTTGTTTGTTTTTACAAGGAAGAGGCATAGTGTTCTTTCTTTACTTCTCCCCACCTTTCTATTGAAATTATATTTGATCTATTCCATCCAAAAATATGTGATTTCAGGATTATCAGTCATTGATCTTCTCCCACATATGTGGTGTTATTGGCAAGTAAAAGTATCCAAATATTCTGTTTTTAAAAGACATTGTGGGGCGGGGGGGGGGGGGGGGGCTGATGGGAATGGTACCACGTTGTGGTATCATTTGATTTTCACATGCGCCTTTATTTTTAATATTGATGGTAAAAGATGCAAAGCAAAGATGCCTGATGGACCTTCATCACTGTAATTTAATGGCGGCTGTAGATAATATAGATTTTTTACATCTTTTCTATATCACATATTGTGAAGATATAAAGACATTGCTACCCGCTTCCTCTCCCACTGATCTGAAGAAATTGGACAAGAAACTCAGTAAATCTGTAAAGCTCCTGAATCTCCACCGATTTACATTTGTGCGGATCTGGATCTGTTTCAGTTTCAGTATCTTGAAAGCAATGTCCCCACTGCAACATTATG